ACTTACTATTTTAGCCAATTAGTCAAAAAGTTACTAAATTAGCCAAAAAGCCAACAACCTATACCAAAAAGTCAAAGATTCTCTTTTCTCTCTACTTTTTGCACATCTTTTCGTAATTAGCCAAAAAGTCATCCCAAACATACAAGTTTTTTTTACCTACCTTTTTAGCCAAATAGCCAAAAAGTTACTAAATTAGCTTGTTCCCAAACGAGGCTTTATTTTTAAAATACAACAACATTCAAATCATAATTTTAAAACTAAATTAAATTTACTAAATTAGATGACACCTCGCATGTCATCATTGCAAAGATAATAATGTTTAAAAGGTCCAAAAAATTTCATTTTTGCCCTTCATATTTCAAATTTTTCTCAGTTTATTCCTAAAAACTAATTTCTATTAAAAATTGAACACAAAATGACACATTAACAATCTCGTGGCATAAAAATATTTTATTATATATATATATATATCAAATTTATTATATAAACTTAAACTTTAATATAATAATATATATTTTTATGTTATATACTATGATATTTTTTGTCTAATTTTGAACATAAATAACCTTGGACGTAAACTAAGAAAAATTTGAAATATAAAAGACTAAAGTAGAAAAAATAAATAAATTTTAAAAATCAAAATCAAAATAAAAAAGTAATCAAACATAAAGAGACAAAATATAATTTACCCATAAAAATTTGAATGATGAGTTATTTTTTATCATAAATGAAGCTTGTTTCAAAGTCAAAAGAAAGCTTCAATAATACACGGCATCTCTATTTGTAAGTAAAATAAAAAATATTTGTATAGCATTTTCCTTAAAAATTTAATCTGTCACAGTACACGAATATTTAACTTGATTAGATGGTAGGCAATGTGTTACTCATGCGGCAAATAACAAATGGCCCGGCCCGGTCCATTGATTTTAGTTCGGCCTAATCTGACGCTAAAATATATGATTGGACCTGGGCTAAAAAGTAAAATGCCCGTTGGGCTACCCAAAGCCTGGTTCATTTACTCGTGATGCACTTTAAAATTTGTATTGTAATTTCTTATTCTTATTCTAATAAAATTTCAAAGTAACCCCAAAAGAATTCAGAATTAAGCCCATAAACCCATGGGTTGGGCCTGAACTTTAAGAATTTAGGTTTAGCCCACCCACGTGTCCCCCATTGACCCATTCAAACTCATGGTCTTGGGCTTGAGGCTGGGCTGTAAAGTTCAAGTTAGGCTTACTCAATTGGCACTTTTAAACTCACCAATTTGAGATTCTGTTACACTCTCTCACCAAATCTTGTGATTCAAATAGATTTTTTACTCGGTTTTCTTATCATTTGACATAAAATAATTGCAATATATTTTTAAATTGGGAGTGGGACCACCTTAATAAATCTAAAACTGTCATTGTCACGTCATTTTACTATGAAATTTTATATAAATTTTATGTGAACAAAAGATCAAATTAATCAATGAACGACTCTACTTTGTTTTTTCAGGTGCTGGAATATTTGGCCACCTCTCTGACTCCATCCTAGGCCGAAAAGGCTCTCTCACGATCGTATGCATTTTAAATGCCATATTCGGTTGCTTAACAGCACTCGCCCCAGACTTCCGTACTTATACTCTCCTTCGTTTCCTTACTGGCTTCAGCACTGGTGGCGTTGGCCTCTGTGCGTTTGTTCTCGCCACTGAACCCGTCGGCCTCTCAAAGCGTGGCGTTGCTGGCATGTCCACATTCTACTTCTTCTCCACCGGAATTGCCTTCCTATCTGGCATAGCTTACATTTTCCAATCATGGCGTGCCCTCTACATTGCCACCTCTATCCCCTCCATCCTCTTTCTCGTCATCATCCTCCCTTTCATCTCCGAGTCCCCGCGATGGTTCCTCATACGTGGAAAAACCAATGAAGCCATGAAAATCATGCAAAACATCGCAAAAGTTAACGGAAAACATTTCCCAGACGATGTCTCCCTTGCCCTTGACGAGGAGGCTAACAACACCACCACCAACAACAAGGTTAGTATTTGTGAAACACATAACAAGACAATGTTCTCATTTTATAAAAATTAATATATCATAATATATAATGAGATGATATCAAATTGTTTAACGTGCTACTTTATAACATTAATTTCATTAAAATGATTTTATTAAAATAAGTGGTACATGTTACTCTTTTTTATTATTAATTTAATAAGTCAAAAGCTATGTATTCTTTTTATTTACTATATTATATCAATCAATAAAATAGTGGCTTAATTAATTATAAATTAAGATCTAATTAAAGGTTCAAAATTTTAAATATATACATATATATATATATATAAAATAAAAATAATTGTTAGATTTATTTATTTTTTCCTCGTGAAATTCTTCTTTAACTGCGCTTATATTTAAAAAAAAAAAAAATTCACTTCAATTAGTAATGTAGAAAAACTAACTCAATTTTTTTATGCATGTATCTTGCCTGTGAAAAGGTTGAAGCGAAAGCTGCAAACGAGGCGATAACAGGTTCTGTCATAGACGTAGTTCGATCGCCCCTGACCCGTGTCCGGTTATTTCTCTCAGTCGCCATTAACTTCTTGTGCTCGGTCGTTTACTATGGGTTGAGCTTAAACGTCGTAAACCTCGGAACCAATCTGTACCTGAATGTTTTTCTTAATGCAGTTGCAGAAATGCCAGCATTTTTGCTAACTGCGCTTTTATTGGATAGGTATGGGAGGAAGCCATTGGCAATTGGAACGCAATGGTTTAGTGGGTTTTTTTGCATTATAGGGGGTTTAATGGGCGGGTTTGGGATTTGGAAGTCGCTCAGGATGGTTTGTGGCATTTTGGGGATATTTGGGATGGCTGGGACTTATAATTTGTTATTTGTGTATACATTGGAGTTGTTTCCCACTGTGGTTAGAAATGCGGCACTTGGATGCGCAACGCAGGCAGCGCAGATGGGGGCGATATTGACGCCGTTTGTGGTGGTTTTGGGCGGTGGGTTGCCTTTTGCAGTGTTTGGGGTGTGTGGCATTGCCGGAGGATTGCTTGCTTTTTGTCTGCCGGAGACTTTGAATAAGCCGTTGTATGACACGATGGGCGGATTAGAGAAGGGGGAAAATGCAGAAAATGAGAATGCTTAAGAGTTTTTTTTTTATTTTTTTTGATTTTTGTAACTCAACTTGGTCAGGTCTAGAAAGCAAGGTCTCGTTTTCACAGCGGGAAGGTATGAAGCAGACTATTTCAATTTTCAACGAAGAATGTAAAATTCACAAAATGGGGAATTCAGTGATTCCTCTCTCTCTCCCTCTCTCCAAAGTGCAATGGTTTGAGGTAGATGTAACTTGAACCTCCTCTATTTTTCTTCTACCAGTTTCCATTGCCTGGATTTTATGATTCCATCATGGGTTTATCATAAAGATTAGATTGTTGATATTTTTTCTTGATAATACTAGAAAATATATATATAATTAAATTAAATAGAAATGATAAAACCAATTTGTTTTTTAATTAAAGAATGAAATACAGACAAAACAAAAAATTAGATTAAATCATAGAACATATTACAAGACGGATTTACATGGACATATAAAATAATATACAATAAAAAGTTTAAATTTAAAACTTTGAAGAACGAAAGATAAGGGATGCAAATCGAAATCTGTATAATACCATAGTTTTTATAAAATAAATTCACCGCCTCCCGATAGGTGTAGGACATCTGTCTCCTAATATACAATGGTCAAAACCAACTCATGCAGAAGCTCCTTCTGAATAGTTTTGGCAAATTTGACAATGACAAGACTCTCTAACAAGAACCAAAGAAGGGGTTAGTACAAAAAAGATGGGAAAAGTTTTCTTTGGCATAAAAGTCATCTCAAACTTTATTATCTCAAAATACTATCTCATTTTTCATCATAAAAACTTTTTTAAAAACAACCTACTAAGTTGAAGGAGAAATACCTCTATTTACACTAGTAGATGAGAGCCTTAACCATGAAGGCTAAAATCAATAAGGTCATCAAATTTTTGGGGGTCGTCTAACTCTTATCAGGTCTGTTCTGTCTAGTTTACCTATATACTATTTATCTGTTTTTAAGATGCCCCAATCTGTGATTAAGACAATTGATAGTTTGAGGGCGGCTTTTTTATGGAGCGGGTCCGAATTAAGGAGGAAGATTCATCTAGTTAAATAGGAGGAGATTACTAAAAGAAGGGACCAAGGTGGGTTGGGAATCAGAAGGTTAAAGGATGTGAATGATTGTCTTCTAGCTAAATGGTGGTGGAGATTTGGTATTGAAGATAAATCCTTGTGGAAAAGGGTTCTTTGTAGTAGAGACCAGTATAATGGTGGGAGATGGCTGCCTTTTCATTACTCTAATGATGATTTATCTAAGGCATTGGGAGGGATATTAAGGGTTGGCCAATCAAACCCTCAATTGAAGAGTATCTTTCTTGATAACGTTAAGTTGGTTGTGGGAAATGGGAGCAAGACTCAGATTTGGTTGGATCATTGGTGTGGGCATCAGTGTCTCATGGAGAAATTCCCTAGGCTGTTCTGTTTATCAACAGAAAAAGATATAACTCTAAGTGCATTGCTGGAGAGGAAAAGATTATCAGGGGTCTGGGAGTTTAATTTTCGAAGAGTGTTGTTTGCTTGGGAGGCCGAGGAGTTGGAAAGGTTAGTCACTTTAATTAATTAGGAAGAGTTGGGGGTAGTGGACAGTGAAGACTGTTTGAAGTGGCTGGCATGTTCATCAGAACAATTTTCTATATCCTCCCTTTTAAATGCTTTAGCGGATGGTCCTGCTATTCTGAGCACTGGTCTGTTATGGAAAAATTTGGCCCCTCCGAAAGTTCAGTTCCTGGGTTGGCTAGCGTGGAAAGGTAGATTCAAAACAGCCGTGTTTCTGCAGAAGATTGGCGTGCTGAACCAAAGTGCTCCCATTGATTGTGTCCTTTGCAGGAATGATGCTGAATTAGTTAATCATGTTTTTCTTTGGGCCCTTTTGTATGGCAAGTATGGTCTACAGTGTTGAACTGGTGGGGGCTTCAGTGGGTTGTGCCTGGTAATGTTGAAGGGTTGCTCCGTTGGTGGATGGGATTTAAGTGGAGAAAGTTTGAAGCTAGACTTTGGAAAGTTATTCCATTGGATTTCATGTGGTTTACTTGGAAACTCAGAAATGAAGTGGTTTTCTCTGGGAAGCTGTTTTGCCTTGTAGAATTTTGTGAATTGATTTTGGCGAGAGTGGCTTTTTGGGTCAAAGCTTATTCAAAAGGGTGTTCTTATTCAGTCCAGGACATTATTCGGAAATTGTAACAAATCAAGTATGTGTCTTTGTCTTGATGTTGTCGGTGGTGTGGGGTTGCTTCTGTTCTCTTGTAGTTGGTGGAAGTTGGGGTGTTAGGTCTGGATTGGTTTTGTTTGGTTTTGTATGGTGTTTGGATGTTTGTTTTTCTGGTTGGGTGTAGCTCTGTTGGTTGTTTTATTTTTCTCTTGGGTGGTATCTCACCATCCTCTGGAGTGATTTTCCTTTCTATGTTGATGTGTTCATCTGTATTGTTGAATCTCATCAATAAAGTTGATCTTTTTGCTGATCAAAAAAAAAAAAATAAGGTCATCAAATTGCCACAATGCCATTAACCAAGGTCATCAACTCTAGCCATTAGGGATAGAGTTACAAAGGTTAAAAACCTATAGTCACTAATATAGTCATCAACTCTGAGAGGGTAATTTTTGGGAAAGAATTGGGCCGAGCTGTGAGTTGGGCCCTGCGGCCCAAAGTGTGAAGGAATCGGTAAGAAGCCGTAATGTTATTTCGGCCCAGTAGAGGTATAGATACTCCGACCCAGGAGAAGTGAAGTTATTCCGGCCCAGGAGAGGTGTGGTTACTCCGGTTCAAGAATGTGTAAAGCAACTCCGGTCTGGTGGCAGTTTGAAGTGAGTCCGGCCTTGCATTTAGTCCGGCCGTGACAAATGCATTACAACCTAGTCTGAACTTGCTACTTGGAAGTTTGATCTAAACACACCATTGAGAGAGATGTCTTGGATTCTTGACCTCTAATACGAAGTGTTTGCCTGACACTTACGAACATGCCAGGCATTGATCAACTTAATCAGTCCCAACTCATGTCCAAACCCATCGCCAGACCTGTCATTCAACGCAACGCAGACGGCACTCCACCCGCCGAATAGTGGCAGAAGAGGAGCAACCTGCTGGAGGCAGGGCAATAGGAAGTGCACTACCCAAGAGGATCTCAACACGTCGTAGTGCCAAAAAAGAATGGTAAATGGCGTGTCTGCATCGACTACAAAACAGTCAAACAAGTGGTGCCAAAAGATAGTTCCTCTACAAGATAGATCAACGGTGGACCTAACGGCAGGGCATAACCGACTGCTTTCTGGATGATACAGAGAGCTACCACAGTCGCATGCATGAACCAGACCAGAGGTCACATCCTTCACAAACACCAAGGGGGTTATATTGCCTACTTAAGGGTTCATGGCCCTTTATTGGCTTAAAGGAACGCAGGGGCGGACATTCCAAAGGATGGTCACCAAGATGTTCGAAAACCATTGTTAGGCAGAACAATGGAGGCTTTACATCGACGACATGGGGTCAAAAGTAAGGATGAGAATGGACCATCTTAAAGACCTAGACGAGATGTTCCAGATCCTGAAGAAACACAAGGTTGCGCCTCAATGCGTCAAATGCGCATTCGGAGTTGGATATTGGCAAATTCTTGGGCTTCCTGGTGACCACCGAGGTATAGAAGCAGACCCCTCTCAGATCAAACAATCCAGAGGAGTTGGAGAGACCAAACTCAGTCAAAGGAAGTACAAATCTCATGGTTGGTGGCTGCACTCAACCGGTTTCATAAGCAGGTCATCAGACAGACTACGACCATTCTTCCAAACTTTAAGCCAAGTTTGGTGGGATGAAGAATGCGACCGAGCTCTGGAAAAGCTGAAGGAGTACAGTCTTCCCCACCACTTACTTGTTACTCCAGTACTGGTGAAGAACTCTTTTTGTACCTGGCAGGTCTCTCAGCACGCAGTCAGCGCAGTGTTGGTTCGTGCCAGAAGGAATACAACACTTACCATCTTTTACTGTCAGCAAGACATTATTGGGAGCCGAAAAAGGTTACTTGCCCCTGGAGAAACTGGCATTAGCATTAATGATGGGCATCCAGAAAGTTGGCGCACTACTTTTTCAACGCCCACACCATAGTCGTCCTCACAGCCTTTCCATTAAAAGCTCTGTTTGAAAGGGCGAACTTTAGGGGCGAATTTTTTGAGTGGGCAGTAGAGTTTGGGACATTCGACATCAAATTCCACCCAAGACCGCAATGGTGGAAAGCCCAATCTTTGGCCAGACTTCGTTCGCAGGAGTTTACTCCTGGAAGTCACATATCTCCCAGTCGACCTAACTGACACACCGAACTAGGACGGAATGTTGACGCCGGAATTAGCGCACCCCTAGTGGAAGGTATTCAATCAAGCACCAAGGCAGACCACTAAGGACAACAAGGAGAGAACAAACAAAAGGCGCCTCACTGCAGTTTCAAACAGAGGACAAAGGACAGGACAGCCAACATGGAACTTTGAAGAAAAACACCATTCTTGACCTCACGACATCATCTGATCCTTCCACTTGCTGGAAACTATTCGTTGGAGAGATGTTTGGAAGCTCTTTGTGGATGGGCATCCCAACCGACATGTGCAGGGTTGGCATTAGTCTCATTCTCTCCAGACGGCCTGGTTATTAGAGCAAGCAATCAACCTTGCTTCCCAGCATCAACAATGAAGCGGGTATGAGGCGCTTCTTCGCAGGACTCAAGTTCAGCACACTTCATTGAAAGCAACCGAATAATTGGTATACATGACTCTCTGCTGGTGGTTAAACCAAATTTTCTGGCGAATACGAAGCAGAAGGACGACAGATATGGCCGAAGTACCAAAGTTAGTCAGAACAGAGATCAAGAAGTTTGATGTGGTTAAGGAGTAGAACAAATTGGCTAGGGAGCGAAAACAGCCGAGCGGACGAGCTAGCAGGGCCTTGCCTCAATGGCAGATATTACATCAATCCCTCAGTCCATACTCATCGACTTCTTACCAAGACCAAGCATAGAAGGACCCCGAAGCAGAAGAAGTATGTTGCACAGAATTAGGCCCTTCTTGGATGGATCCCATCTCCTATCCTAAAGACGGCATCCTACCAGAGAAAGAAAAAGGAAGCCAACAGAATAAGGGCAAAGTAGCAGCGATTTTGGCTATCTCCATCTTTGGCATTATACAAGAAGTCTTTTCTGGGCCTTACCTCAAGCATTGCGTTCATCCCAGCAAAGTAGAAGCATTCCTGTTCGAATATACACGAAGGGGTGTGTGGAGTCATCAAGG